AAAATTCACTGATAACAATACAAAGAAAAACTATGTAGATATTTCAAATATTAAAATCAAATTAAAATGAACGAAAAAAAAGATCCTAAATTTTATTTTCCGGTGGGACATACCTTTCGTTAACGTTGAAACAAAATTTGAGATCTATAAGTTGATGGACTGAATTTTAACACAAACTCTACTAATACACCCTCAAAGTTTTTACAGAAAATATGTAAGAGATGCGGCTGCAATGAACAAAAAGTATGTTTGCAAACCTTATATAGAACTCAAAATAACCTAATAACACGCACTAAACGACATCGTAAAGAATAGTGGTATTCTTTGAAGTTGGTCGGCCCGTAAACCTTAAAAGTATGTTCAGCCCATAAGTCTTAAATCTATAGTTTTAACATTTACTATAAAACTAAAAGAGATGTACATAGACTATGACGGGGAAGAAGAATCTATCAATCATCTACTTTTTGAATGCCCGCCCTCTAGGCAGGTTTGGGCTTTATCCCCTATTCCCTCTACGGGACATCTTTTCCCTCGAAATTCCCTTTTCTATAACTTTGACTTCCTCTTTTGGCGAGGCTGGGAATTTGGAATTGAAGAGGATGTGCTAGAACTCTTTCCATGGATACTTTGGTATATATGGAAAAGCCGTAATAGATTTGTATTCGAAAACATTAGGGAGCCTCCCCTCGAGATTCTAAATTTGGCCTTAAAAGAAGCATCGGTCTGGAAACAAGCCTTTTTGAATGGTATGTCAAATACCGAGGCTCTTGATCGCACGCTTCTGAACCTTTCCCCTCATCCTCAGACATCGGAATGTCAGGTGGATGCCTCATGGCACTTAGAAGATACTTTAAGCGGACATGGATGGGTATTAGTTAATCAAGATCGGATCCTTCATCTCGGTCTCAAGAGTTCGAGAAGAAGTCTTTCACCGCTCCATGCGGAAGTGGATTCTTTGTTGTGGGCAATGGAATGTTTGATCTCGCTAGGAGTCACCTGTGGCGCCTTCGCAACAGATTGCTCCGACATGATATCACTTCTCGATAATCAAGAAGATTGGCCAACTTTTGCAGCAGAATTGGCCTCTTCCCGGTCTCTTCGTTGTTTTTTCCCTTCTTTTAGTATTCGTTTTATTCCTCGTCGTTTTAATACTCGAGCTGACTGTTTAGCGAGAAAAGCTCGGAAGAGTCTTTTTTCCCATGTAAGCAACTCGGTTCCTGAATGGCTCTCCCCAGCGGAGAGTCTATCTTTCCGATAACTTAATTTAAATGGTGTTTGATGAAAAAAAAAAAAGTACATAGACTATGACCTAGAAAATATTCAATATAACCAAAATCAATAATTATTAATTATTTATTATTAAAATGTTTATTAATTTTCTCTCTTAATTCTTAAAATGTTTCCACGGTGGAAGAGAAGAATTGAAAAACGGTAAGTATTACAATAAGGAGAAAAAAAAATGGTGGAAGAGAACGTTGGCAGCGACGGCTGCAATTTTCAGTCGACGAGGGATGGCTTCGAGGATCAACAAGAGAAGATGGACGGATTGATGTAGAATGTTATGAATGGTTGGAGTCTCCCTTTTCATTGGTCGAAAAATAATTTCTAGTTAGTCAAAATTATTTTTTTTTCTTTTTTTCTTTAAAAAATCGATTTTCTAAGAGTAAATTGGGATATTTTTATTTGGCTCATTTAAAACAGAGAAATGTGTGGATTTTAGGAGAATGTGAGAAATTGTTTTTTTTTTACATTTAAGAGTTCTTCAAAATTTGACACGAGACAAATAAAAGGAATTTTTTTTTTCACCCGAATTATATTAAACTCAACCAAACTTCTGAGCATACAATCGGAGAGAGCTCTTTGCTAGAGCGTCAGCCACACTATTGGCTTCCCTTCGAATAAAGCGACAGATAAACTACTCAAAACATTTAGAGCTAATTAAAATGTTTGTGACGATGCCATGGATCTCTACAAGGAGAATTACGTCATTAATGGCTTTGGACTAGTTGTTGGTAGTCATTTTCAATTAGCAAATGCCTCACTTGTGTTTCTAAGGCTCCGGTAATGGCTGCTAGAATTGCCAAACCTTAGGTCATGAGAGGGGATACAACATTCTCACAGATTGAGGAGAATTGAGCAACAAGACCCATGGTTGGGGAGGTGAAAGTCCATCCTAGACCTGATATCCGCAAGCCAGGCTGCATCCGATTTACATTTGGTACCAAACTCCAGAAAATGAGGAAGATCAAACCTTGCACTAGAAAGAAGATTGATATGTAGATTTTTGGTTTGAGCCTCTTGCCACTCCTTGGCGTCTTTGATAGATTTGAGAATCATATCTTCAATGGTGTAACTCTTGTTATTGAAAATCTTTTGGGTTCTTGTTGTCCAGAGAATCCATAGAATCCAAGAGGCCAAGGGAACACCTCCTAATCCCACTAGTGATAAACAAACCATGGTTTGTGTTTCTAAAAATCCAAATCTTGTCTCATGCGCAGAGACAAAGTCGAAGTCCAGTAAGAACGGGCCAAATTCCATACCTGAGATGCAAATGGGCAAAAGAATAAGACATGAAAGATAGATTTTAGTTCATTACATCGACATCAAGTTGTATCCACATCCATATGTCTAGCAGCCAATTGGGATCATGTAGGTAGAGCACCAAGTAGTACTTTTCGGAGAAAGGTTTTTATCTTTGATGCAATCTTAATATTTCACACTTCTGCTTTCCAATCTATCATCACAGCCGGAGGTCTGTTCTGTTTCATGCATCCTTATCTCTTGTGATGAAATATCCAGACTTTGTGGAATAAACTCCTTACTGTATTATTGATGAGTAAATATGCATAGTTACATTTAATGAAGATAATTAATTTATTAGCGTTTGTTTTGCTGTCGCATGATAATAAGCCAATATAATTTGATATCATGTTGTTTAAAAAAAGAAAAATGTTTAGCAGCTACACGAAAGAGACGCCATTACATAGCAACACATGCACACTTTAAATATATCTCGTTAGCTATACGAAGTATTGCCATCACATACAGACATCCCCGAACTAACATAAGTCATGTTGCAAACACCATAACCATCCATTTCAAGTGTTCCATTTGCCGGAATCCGGCGTTGACCGATATTGACCAGCGTTGACCAAAAAAACTTCAAAAAAATAATTTATTTTTGTTTTTTATTTATTTTTGATATATAATTAAAATAATATATTATTACATAATTTTACTTAAAATATAAAAAAATATACCAAAAATAAATATTACCAAAATTTTATAACAAAATATAGCACAAAAAATTGTGGTCTATTTTGTGATATATTTAGTTTTTTTTTTTCTGTTTTGTGGTATATTTAGTTATATTACAAAAATATATACCAAAATTTTGTTGTATATTTTGTTTTATTATTTTGTTGTATATTTCTTTTTGGTATATTTTGTTATATTTTAACTAAAATTATGTAATCATTTATTATTTTTAATTATTTATCAAAAATAAATAAAGTAGGAAAAATATTTTTTTGAAAATATTTCCGGTCAACGCCGGATTCCGGCAATTAGAGCACTAAAAATGGATGGTTATGATGTTTACAACATGATTTATGTTAGTTCGGGGATATCCGTAAGTGATGGCAATACTTCGTGTAGTTAACGAGACATTTTAAAAATTTGTATGTGTGAATATGTGATGACGTTTCTTTCGTGTTGTCAAACGAATAAAAATCTTTTTTCCTTATATAAATCACTGTGACGTATTACACGATATTGCAACATGCAAACGAATAAAATTTTCTTGTAGATTGATTGAAATAGCCATAGATAGACAAACGAATAAAACTTCCATCGGAATTGGTCAAGCAAGATCCATGTGTATTTGCTTTTTTTTTTGGTAAGTAAATAAAGGTATCCAAAAAATGTTGGATTGTTGGTTGGGCATCTATTTGCTAATGATTGTTTCTAATTTAGAACTTAGAATTGAAAAACTAATAATATACCACTTATCAATAGATAACCTTTGACCATTTTTCTCAACGATATAAGATCCAAAGTTTGTAAATAATAATACAATTTAATTTTTAAAAAATATATTATGGGAGTATTTGGTGTTTCTTTCATCAATGAATGGAGCAAAATAAAATACAATTAAATAAACAACGCTAACATTTATGACAACTCTATTATCTCTATCTCTCTCTTCAAATACTATAATTCATTGTCCTTTTCATCGAATCCAAGACCTCAAAAAAAAAACAATTATTAATTTTCAACGATCAAGATCTCAAGAGTCAAATCCAACGGTCAGAAACAAGTGACTCTGGTACTGACACCACCTCTCATAATTCTCGTTAGTAGGACCTCTCTCACTCTCTCTTCTTCCTCTTTCTTCTCTCCACTGTATCGGATCCGGGTCAAATCCGGGTCGGGTCAGGTCGGGTCGGGTCTCTTATAAGAAGAGGAAAACCACTCACTCACTCTCTCTCTCTCTTTCACCCCCACGCACTCTTCTTTTTCTCTCTCTGACACATATCTTTTTCTCTCTCTATCTAACCATTTCTTTCTCTCTCTTCTGTTTTTGAAAGCCAAAGTGTCTCTCTTGGACAGTGATGGAACTGCTTCAAGAGATTTAATTTACTTACCCACGAGAGAGAAGCCAAGTTGAAGAAGAAAGATTTGTTCTTTTGTCTTGTTTCTTTCATTTCTCTCCACAAAGATCTCAAAGAGACGAACTTTTTTCTTGGGTTTGCTTTCTCAATGCGTACTTGTACTAGTAGAGCTTGTGTTGTTGTTCATGGTTTGATGATGAGCAGAAACAGATTCTTGTTTTGAAGAAGAAATGGGGTTTGTTCTGTTTCTTGTGTTTAAGGGTTTTATGGATGGTTTGATTCAAAGCTTTCACTAAGTCTTATGGTGAGTGAGGATTTTTGGGGTTTATACAAAGGAGATGGAGAAAGACGAGTTTGTACTTCCGGAGCTAAAGAGTTATAGCTACTGTAGTAGCTGGAAGTGAAGATTAATTTTTATAGATTGTACGGAAAAATTAGGGTTTTCAAAAGTTTGGTTTTCAAATCATGAAGCTGTCAACATCTGGATTGGGTCAACAGGGTCATGAAGGTGACTTGTTTTTCTCTGATTTCATAGTTCTGTTTCTTGACAAGTTTTCTTAGCTATTGTTGTTGTGTCTGTTCTCTAACAGGAGAGAAGTGTCTGAATTCTGAGCTATGGCATGCTTGTGCTGGACCATTAGTCTCTCTTCCATCATCTGGTAGTCGAGTTGTTTACTTTCCACAGGGTCACAGTGAACAGGTTCAAGCTTTTCTTTTGTGTTTAAAGATTGGTTTTTTTTTTCTTCTTTGTGTGAAGTATGGAGCTTTATTTTTTTAGACTTGTTTATATTTGGGCATTTCCATTTAAATTGAAGTGTACTTGTAGGTAGCTGCTACAACTAATAAGGAAGTTGATGGTCACATACCCAATTACCCAAGCCTACCACCACAATTGATATGCCAGCTCCATAATGTTACAATGCATGTGCGTAGTTAGTTCCCTGTCCTTTTCCAACTTCAATTTTACTTTTGTAACTAGTTTTGGGATGATGTGCTTTGTAAGTATGGGTTTCGTTTCTACTTTTCAGGCAGATGTCGAGACGGATGAAGTCTATGCTCAAATGACACTTCAGCCATTGACACCGGTAGATACCATAACGGTTTTTTTTTCGTTTAGTTGAGTCTGTGAATAAGTAACTTAAAGTTTTAGAATTGGTGTTGTTTATAGGAGGAGCAGAAGGAAACATTTGTACCGATTGAGTTGGGGATCCCGAGCAAGCAACCTAGCAATTATTTCTGTAAGACTCTCACAGCTAGTGATACTAGTACACATGGAGGGTTTTCTGTTCCTAGACGTGCTGCTGAGAAAGTTTTTCCTCCATTGGTATAATACTTTTTCTTTAGCTTACTTGCTATAAATTGTTATTGGCAATATATGTACTCGTTTTGATATCTTGTATCTTCCCTGTTGCAGGATTACACACTGCAGCCACCAGCTCAAGAACTGATTGCAAGGGATCTCCATGATGTTGAATGGAAGTTTAGGCATATCTTTCGGGGTAGGTTTCACCTTTCCTCGGTGTGAGTTGATGATCCCTTTAATAGCATATATTTGTTCTATCTTGGTTGGTTACTACTTCGATGACATTCTTTTTAACTGTAGTCGTCAGTGTAAAAATTTCAACTGGTTTATTAAGTATGTCCTGAAGCAGCATTCGGCTGTTATTTTCACTACCCTTGTTTGGTTAAGTTATAGAAACTACGGAGGCTCTGTGTTCTTGTCGTTGTCTGGAATTATTTACTTGTTCATATTAAGCCAGTTGATTTGAATCCTTCTTCTTGGTCTGAAAGCAATTACTTACATGGATTTGGTGTGATTATGCAGGACAGCCCAAACGGCATCTCCTAACTACTGGATGGAGTGTCTTTGTCAGTGCTAAGCGACTAGTAGCTGGAGATTCTGTCATTTTCATCAGGTTTAGTTCTTTTGTTGTACGTTCACTTTGTAAATTGTGATTATATTTGTAACCTTATTACTTGTTTCCAGGAATGAAAAGAATCAACTCTTTTTGGGAATACGTCATGCCACTCGGCCACAGACTATTGTACCATCATCTGTTTTATCTAGTGATAGCATGCATATTGGACTCCTTGCTGCTGCTGCACATGCTTCTGCAACTAATAGCTGTTTCACTGTTTTCTTTCATCCAAGGTTGGAAAATCTCTCCCACTTGCATCTTTTTTCATCTCTCGGTATATCCGATAATACATCCGGCTAATATTCTCTTCATGTTCAGGGCTAGCCAATCTGAGTTTGTGATACAACTTTCCAAGTACATTAAAGCCGTTTTTCACACGCGTATTTCAGTTGGGATGCGCTTTCGCATGCTCTTCGAGACAGAAGAGTCGAGTGTCCGCAGGTGATGATGCCACATATCTGGACATGCAATGTTGAAACTGAGAAAACTATATCATTATGTTACACATATTACTTTAACATGTTTTCTGACAGAGGCATGGGGAACTTTCCAGGTACATGGGTACTATAACTGGTATCAGTGATCTAGATTCTGTTCGTTGGCCAAACTCTCATTGGCGGTCTGTCAAGGTAATACTAATAAGCCTGTTACCTCATTTAGATTCCATGAAACGCCACAGGTTTCTGATAGTCCAATATTTCACTGAAATTCCATCAACATTGGCATTATTGGTGTAGGTTGGCTGGGATGAATCGACTGCAGGGGAGAGACAGCCAAGGGTTTCTTTATGGGAGATTGAGCCTCTTACTACCTTTCCTATGTATCCATCTCTGTTTCCTCTCAGACTAAAACGTCCATGGCATGCTGGCACTTCATCATTGCCTGGTATCCACCTTTTGGCTCTGCTCTTAACTGTTATTATCTAGTGTAGCAAGTTCCTGAAGTCTCTTACTGTCACTCAGATATCCAGTTTTTGTTTTGTTAACTTAGTTGCTAGTTCGGATAAATAAGAATTGTATTACGAGCTCTGAAGAGGGTCTTACTGTTATAATTTATTTACAAAGAAGTGTAGTTACTCTTCATAGCTATTTACTTAAACCATTGTGATGTTACAGATGGAAGGGGTGATTTAGGAAGTGGTCTAACATGGTTAAGAGGAGGTGGAGAGCAGCAAGGTTTGCTTCCTCTAAATTATCCATCTGTTGGTTTGTTTCCATGGATGCAACAAAGGCTGGATCTCACTCAAATGGGGACTGATAATAATCAGCAATACCAAGCAATGTTAGCTGCTGGATTGCAGAACATCGGCGGTGGAGATCCTCTTAGACAGCAGTTTGTCCAGCTGCAAGAGCCTCACCAACAATATCTTCAACAGTCAGCTTCCCATAATCCTGATTTGATGCTTCAGCAGCAGCAGCATCAACAAGCGCGCCATCTCATGCATGCTCAATCCCAGATTATGAGTGAGAATCTTCCGCAGCAGAATATGCGACAAGAAGTTAGTAACCAACCAGCTGGACAGCAGCAGCTACAGCAAGCGGACCAAAATGCATATCTTAATGCTTTCAAAATGCAAAATGGCCATCTTCAACAGTGGCAGCATTCGGAGATGCCGTCACCTTCATTCATGAAAGATTTTCCTGACTCAAGCAACAAATTTGCAACAACTGCTAGTCCGATGCAACAGAACTCTGCCTCTCCGGCTTCTGGAGATGGCAGCAATCTTTTGAATTTTTCTATAACCGGTCAGTCTGTACTGCCTGAGCAGTTAACAACAGAAGGTTGGTCTCCAAAAGCATCCAACACTTTTTCTGAACCGTTGTCACTTCCACAAGCCTATCCTGGGAAAAGTCTTGCTCTAGAACCTGGAAATCCCTCTCTTTTTGGTGTTGATCCTGACTCTGGACTCTTCCTCCCCAGTACGGTTCCTCGCTTTGCTTCCTCATCAGGAGATGCTGAAGCTTCCCCTATGTCACTAACAGATTCAGGATTTCAGAATTCCTTATTTGGCTGCATGCAAGACACTCATGAGTTATTGCATGGAGCTGGACAGATTAACCCGTCCACCCAAACCAAGAACTTTGTAAAGGTGTGCTGGTTGGTTCTGGGTTCACCAACTTCTCTGTGGCTCTGGTGTCTCTAAGAAAATACTGATATGCTTACAAATCCAAAAATGCAGGTTTATAAATCTGGTTCGGTTGGGCGTTCACTAGACATCTCCCGATTCAGCAGCTATCACGAGCTGCGAGAAGAGTTAGGGAAGATGTTTGCTATCGAAGGGTTGTTGGAAGACCCCCTTAGATCAGGCTGGCAGCTTGTATTCGTTGACAAGGAAAATGATATTCTTCTCCTTGGCGATGACCCGTGGGAGTAAGTAAAGTACTTTTCTTCTATTCATATACATTGATTTAAATTTGTGATAGATCTTGAAAAGCTTGTGGCATGCAGGTCATTTGTGAATAACGTTTGGTACATAAAGATACTATCGCCGGAAGATGTGCAGCAAATGGGAGATCATGGTGAAGGCAGTGGTGGGTCATTCCCGCAAAACCCGACCCATCTCTAGAAGCTGTTTGGGTGTAGATCCTATATCCTGCTACATTGCGGGAGCCTTTGTTTTCGTTTGAAGACACTTCCACTGATCTTTATATGCCATTCGTTCGCATCTCTCTCATTTTGACGTTTTTAGAAAGAAACATAATCATATTTGTGAAGTATGGGTCCTGAAACTTTAGGGCGTACTTTAGCTTGTATTAGACAGACACTCGTCATAAACATAAGAACTTTTATTAGTTGTCTAAGGTAACTAAACTTTTCTAGTATTTTGTTTCTCTTCTTCTCGAATAACAACACTTGTGAGACCATAAGGTGTGAAACCAAACCAGCCAAAGCTTTAAAACACAAACCATTAAGCACAAATGTTACCATAAATGCAATGACATTGAACATGAAAAACAAGAAGAATGTCTGAAAAAACTTAGATTGAAGAATGACATAGATGTACCAATAATTCATTTTCTTCCTTTCTTTTTGATCCAAAGAGTACTTAAACGTGCACACACATCAGACTTGTCAACCTTGGGCACAGCATCATTCATGGCATCTCTAAGTCTCTTATCATCTTTAGCATCATAGAAGCATTTACGTCTCTTCGAGTCCCTTATAAGTTTTGCCCAAATTGAACCACTCCGAGCCAGTGTTGTCGCATTTCCAATCACCCATAAACAGTGCCTTGCTCGAGTCAGTGCTACGTTGGCTCTTTGACGGTTACTGAGAAATCCAACCTTCCCGTTACCGTTACTTCTAACGGTGGAGATGATGATAACATCTTCTTCACCACCTTGAAACCCATCTACCGACCGAACATTCAAAGTGAAAAGTTCACCTGATAAGGAACTGTACTTATCTTTGATTCTCTCTTGGATTGCTCTGACTTGTCCTTTATAAGGTGTAATCACTCCAACACTCATCTTCATCCTTCTTTCACTTGAAACTGTTTCAATATTATGCAAATTAGTAAAACAGAATTATTATAAATAGATTAAGAATCAATAAAGATTAATAATACCTTTGAAAAGATTGGATATGATTTCAGAAACCACAGCAACTTCAACCATGTTCTTGGGACTATGTCCATCACCAAACTCTTGTTTTCCACGTTTAACATTGATAAAAGAGAAAGAACCAAACATGTTTCCTTGAAGAAAATTCTTTTGATAAATACTTTCTTGAACATTAGCAGCATCTGTGATTCTCCCACCATAAAACTCCTTGTTAGGGAAACGACTAATCAAAGGATGCATTCGATATTGAACATCAAGCAAATGTTTGTTATGACCAAGCAGAACCAATCTCTCAAACAAGCTTCTTCCGAATTTCGCCTTTTCACATTCATCGTTATGAACCATTGCAGGTAACTGCAACTCATCTCCTATTAGAATGGCATGACGCAGTCCCTGAAGTTGTAATGCAGCAACTGATTCACATTCTTTAAGCTGAGCCGCCTCGTCAACCACTAGAAGTTCTACATTTCCTGTCCTTTCCACATTCATTTCTGCAGCACCTGAGGCTGTACATATGATTATGTCTGCTTTTTGCAGGCAAAAGTTCCTTGTATCCTCGCTCTTCAAAAATTCTGGAGTCATATTAAAACTCTTGGGAAGCAAAAGTAGAGCCTGAATGCAGCAATCAACATGGATAAGTCTTTTGAAACTACCTTTCTTGGATTCAAATCTAGAAGAATTCTCCTGCAAAAAATATCTGGCACGCTGAATAGCTTCACGGGCTGCGATCATTTTCTTCACATCTTTAGATGAAATAACAGAATGGGGCAGATGTGTGTACAAATCAACCATATCTCTCTCCAATTGTTCACTTAAGCCATTAAACATCTTCTTAACAAACTCTACAAATGTAGGAATGTTTAAAACATCTTGCTTCTTCTTCTTCTCTTCAGCTTCTTTCTTCTTCTTTTCAGCTTCTTTCTTCTTCCTTTCAACTTCTTTTAATTTACGAACATATTGCTCGTACTTAGTCTCTGTGTTCTCAAGAAGATCTATGATTGACTCCAAACTCTGCTTCCATCCAAAAGATGGTGATAACAGTTTACGAAGTTTACTGACGCGATGATCAAGAAAGACATCACGAAGATAATCATTCTTTTTGATCCCCATTCTTTTGTGGTTTCCAGCTAAAACAATATTCCCCAACCCATAAGTGGCATGTTCTGAAGATTTCTTCCATAAATCCAATAGCCTTGATGTTACTTCTACAATAGCTGTGTTTGTAGGAGCGCACACAACTGTTTTGCACCTTAGCTTTAGAAGGACAAGGAGAAGAGTCGCGACCGTCTTTGTTTTGCCAGTACCAGGAGGTCCCCATATCAGTTTCACACTGTTCTTGTGATTACTATGTCTTGTCTCAAGGCAGCTCAAGATTGCAGTTTCTTGTGAAGAGTTCAATTTCGCTGAATAGATTATATCCAAAACGTTTTGTCCCCATGTTCGAGAAGAAAAAATTTGCTCCATACCCTGAAATACACAATTAATTACGCCAAGCAAGAGGCAAATAAAAATTTATAGTGGATCCAATTCACATCAAGAGAATCAAGACCATTGCTTATATACATACCGCTGTATTTGGCTGAAGAACACTCTGGATGAGATCAAAGTTGGGAGCTTCATGGTGCAAAGCATTCCATATACGATTGTTTGTAGTTGAATTCATAAGAGAAACACAGAAACCAAGTGACTTTTTCTCATCATGGGATATTAGTCTTGACAAAATAACAGAGATATTAGGATAAGTATCAACAGAATTAATAGAGGCAAGAAGTAAAGGATTCAAGTCATCGATTCGTCTTGGCCTTTCCTTTGCCAGAGCAATAAGATCACCACATTGTGGCTGATACTTTTCACTAATACTCAATGCATCCTTAATTGTTATATCGTAGAACAACTTGTTTAATGAGCTTCCACTTGATTCCTTTGTCCTTGTCTCCAAGGAACTTATTTCAAAGAGAGGAGCTTTCGATAAAGATTTGAAGCTTGAGGACAACTCGGTTCGCGTTTCCTCGAGTAGATGAGGAACAAAACACTTCAAGTATTCATTAACGGAACTAAACTTGTCTGGTATAGTCTTTATCTGTTACAAAAATAGATCATTGATTATAGCTATAAGTATAAAAACATGTCAACTAAGGAAGAAAGGTTAAAAGAAATGAAAAACCTTTTGCTTGTAGAGATCTTTGTTGAGAATATCTTTGATGGACCAAGAAAATATTCTATCAAGTAGACTTGTTTTCTCGTTTCTTTCCATGATCTTTCACGTTTACTAACTTTCTTTCCTGCGATGTTATAGAACATAGAACGAATCAAAAGATTGGTACATATATAAAAACAAGAGTGAAAAGCAGAGTGAGTGATGTTAATAAAGATGTGATTTGTCTTACAAGGCAAGAAAATAGAGTGATAGGTAGAAAGTGAAGCTGCAAGAAGAGTGATGTAGAGAACCAACAGAAGTAAAGAGAGACAAGTATGGAGAAACACTATATGCTATTTTGCTCGGTCTATATGAGGAAGAAGAAGTCGAAAGGTCTAGCTAGAATTTCAAGAGTTTTTTTTTTTTTTTTCCTAGTTTCACTAAAAAGTGGAAAAAAAAAATGAGAAGACCACTTTTGTCTAATGTTGGTCTCGCTTCTTATTGTTGCTAACCGGGCAGGGGATTAACCGGCCGGTTAATGAGTAGGATTGATGGTTCAATGGATTCAATTTCTCTCTCTATCAAACTCACTGAAACGAAGTGGTTTATAAGAAAATTTATCTCTTGCATATGATTAGAGATTTATAAGAAGATTCTCTTATAAGTTATAAAGTCACTGAAACGAAGTGGTTTATAAAATTTTCTATTGTATTGGCTGGTTTCTTCTGCAACTTTTGCCCAAACGTTTCCCATTTTCTATGCATCCAATTCAAGAACACAACTCTTTCTTTTTACACTCTGGACTCTATTGGATTACTAGCAAGACAGAATGATGCATAATTCAACTAACAAGGATGAAATCTTACCTGTTGTGAGGCACCGATAATTTGTTGCTCAAGATTATGCATCTTCTCCTTTTCCAAAAATTCTTTTATCTTTCTATCTCAACAACTGGTGGTTTTGATCCACCTCAGTCATTAGAAAGTGACTGCCTCAGGCAGCTCCTTGAATCCCTACCTCTTCTGGCAGGCTGAACCACCTCATGCACTGGCTCGGCAGAGGCTCCGCCGTCACCAAACAACTGTTTTGGAAGCTTCACCGCACCATACAACATCCTAGAGGCAACTTCCCTTGCACATGGAGAAACACTTTCAATTCAACTCGTCGTCACTGTTGCTAATAACAGGTTGTGCACATAGGCAGCCCAAGTATTTCTCCAATGCAACTCTTCTCTGCTCCAAAAACTCTTATTTCTGGCAACTCTGAAGAGAGTTTCATCACATCCAGCGAAGAATCAAAGGTTGGAAACCGCTTCGTTGAAGCACTGAAATCGTGGAGCACGGCAGATACAACACGTAAAACAGCCATAGTGCAACAGAGAGTCCTCCGTGAGTTTCTCCAGATCTGTGAATCTAAGAGAAAGCTACTGGAAACACTCAAGTAACAAATGTCCCATGTTTGCTCTTTAATCATATTGGAGAAAGATCGCTGCATCTCTTGGCATATTTTCAATTTGAGACACAACAACGATATATTGATGTTTCAAATATATTTCGAAAAATATGTTACATATGTTTTCACTCTTTCCTACGCAACAAATTTCTGACAACGAGTATCCTTGTGAATGTTTTGACAACGAATAGAACAAAACCTCATCCCACATAAACAACAATTGTAGCCTGCAATGTAACCACAAACCGAGCAGAAATGACGACGAGAAGACGAACTCGGAGGTCCAACAGCTGCTTTCAAGTAAGTCGGCACATGCGCCGGTAAAGATTCCAAATTTGCCTAAAACAAATGTATCTTAGAACCAAACTACTAATGGCTGAGCTTAGCTGCAAAATAGAGTTAGTTACCTCTTGCAACAGCTCAAGGAAGGATTTAGGAGCTCTACGAGCTTCTAAAGCTTTCGCTTGTCGAGTTTTACGCTTTGATCCTTTGTGTTGCTTCTTCTGTACATAACCTACACCCAAAAAACAGAGATTAAACTAAAACTATATATTCACACAGAGAGATATCTTCAAATGTGAAAGATTTATTCACCGAGATCATCGTCTTCATCGAGAGAAGCTTCGTCATCATCGTTCATATCTACCACTTCAATAGCACCATTATCATTCTCTAAAGCCTCTAGCCGAGCTATAGCAGCCTAGAATCAATCATTTTTGAAAGACGATTCAATTTTTTTTTTCCCAACACAAAAATCAAAAACTGATTCCGAAATCACCTGAGTTCGATTGTCATTGCTTGTAAGAGCCGCCGCCATCTTTGTAGCGACCTTGCGAGTCCGATTGGATACTCGACGGTTCGACATCTCTTCCTCCATCCCGGAAAATGTTTAGAGTGCCGGCGACGTTGGAAGCGCAGCGGCGGATTTCAGAGTCGACGACGACGACGGTGACTCTTTTTTAGGTTATTTTTCTTAGAAATAGTCTAATCGGCCCATTGGGCCTTAAACAAATTACTAAAGCTCTACTTGCAAGTGAAATTGTGGGGAAAATGTGTAGAAAATCCCCAAAAGCCCTCACTTTCTTTTTTTAGGTTTTTAAACTCTCATTTTTTTTTAAGTGAAAAAAAATCTTAATATTAATAAATTCAACTTAATTTTTTAAATCTTTATGTTAAAACAGTTAAAAACAAAAATAATTTAATTTATGAGTGTTTTTCAAATTCGAGTTTGCAATTTTTCTTTCTAAAATTAAGGTTTATGTGCTATAAAAATTTATATATTATTTGTAATAAAATCTGTTTGGCTTCACGTTGATAAATTTTTGTAACACAACCGAATACAATTTTATTAATTAATTTTTTTACATCATGACTTAAAAAACTTCAATTTAGAAAAAGATTAAAAAAACTAGAATTTAGAAGAAAAATCCTAAATCAAATTGTTTATTGTTATAAATAATATTGTATAGTATGTGGATGCCCATTATATGGCCCATTAGTATATTCTAGAAGGTTCCAGAAAACTTAATCTCTAACCTAAACCCTAATGTTGTATCTCTATATGTATATGTTGTATCTTGTATAAATGATTTATTTATGTTTTAGTATAAAGATTTGTTTGAATTTAATTGAGTTTATTATTAATATGATTTATCGTACCATTTATGAAAAAATAAGAGTTTAAAATCCACAAAAAAAAATGAAATTTTTTTAAATGTTTTTTAAGAAAGGTTAATGTTTTTCTACCCTTTTTCAGAAATGAAGCTGCTTCTATATTGGAATTTATTTATTAGGTCGTGTATCGAATTTAGATACAACTAAAAAAAAGAAGCAAAACCACTGAATAATACAGATTATACAACACGATATTCAAACTAAAAGAAACCTAATCAATTGACTTTTGATTCACAAGAATCCTCAAACAAAAATTTAACCTAATCAATTATGAGAGTGAGACCAAGGAGATAAGAAACTCTTGTAATCAAACTTGCCATTCAAGAAACCATCACCACCTTTTTGGTTCCTTACTTGTTGCTGCACCACCAACACCGATCCCTCGGAGGCGAAAACGCTTCCAGCCACGGTGTCTCCTATGACTCCAAGCTGGTGGTCTTCGCTCCACGTGGATAAACCTTCAAGAATCTTTGGGTTGATCCCTTCTCTTCTTCCGGTTATCCATAGATCGTAGTCGTTGACATTCATTGCTTGGATCGCAGCGAGTGTCTCAGCACCGTTCTTGACTACAACTTCTTTGTAACTAACCCTATCGTTGCCTTCGTTCTTGACCCAAAACCACGTGACTACCCCATCGTCTAGCTTCTTCTCTCTTTCGTCCTCTCCTTCGTGGTTGAACGCCAAGAATCGGATCACCGTCAAGGTTACGTCCGGGTTTGTCGACATTCTATCGGCTAGATGTAGAGCTTCTCTGTTATCAGCTCCTCCTAAAAACAAAACCACGAAACGGTACGTTTCTTGTCTCATACGGCTTGAGTTTGTTGAGTGTTGTACGTCCATGGATAACCGAACCACCGCGTTCTTAAGCCGTCCTTTGTCAAAGTAGATACATACAGAGCAAGGTGTGTGTTCCAATACGTCTGCGTTCACAGATAGCATGCCGGAGTCACGTAGCTCGGTAGGGGCTGCGTCTTCGAGACGCTCTTTCTGATATGGTAAGAGAATGAAAGCGGCTTTTTTAGCCAAGGCCAGCTCGCAAATGTCTTGGTACATGAGACGCTTTGGAGCATGAGCGGTGTAGGCACGAAGCGATACACACTCATCTCTTTTCTCTTGGTACAACTTAAAGGCACTCTGGACTTGGTCTATTCGCCCACTTTGCGTTGTACGGTCAGGGTCTTCTTCTTCCTCCTCGTATTCTTCTTCATCCTCCTCCCTTCGCTGCTCATGGTCAATAAACAACGGTGTGGCTCTCCCTGCTAGTTCGACCAGCTGGACTGCGAATATAGACAAGGGACTACTTTTAGTGGGATAGGCGAAGTCGAGGAAAGTTATCAAGCCGGATAAGGTTTCGCGGTTGGAGACTGCAAGAACCAGGCCCATCTCGGTGTTCTGAGGAGTGTGTTGGATGGTGCGGTGTTTGCTGCTTCGGTATGGCCGAGTGGGGTCGTATAGAAAGCTGATGAGCGGCGTCGATACGGCCGTGACTACAACCGAATGCAAAACCATGACAGTGAAACCCGGAAAGCCCACAATACGTTTATCGATCCAATGCAAGTAGACCAAGATATCCATCTGGCCTCTCAAGTTCATCATCAACCCAAGCGTGAGACTGTCTCTAGTGGGGACTTTGAAGAAGAGAGCAGCGGCAGCGGTAGAGAGAAACTTAGTGATGAAGCCGACGACGGTCATGTAGAAGAGAGGAGAGAGCTGATCACGCCATGTCTCATCGCTAAAGTAGTGAATATTGGTGCCTTGTCCCACCAAAGCATAGGAGAAAGGCATCAAAAATTCATAGATAAAGGTCTCGCTCCGAACAGCCAACGTCGAACCCAACGGTGGGCCATGAGGGACCAGCAACCCTAACCAAATCGGTCCTACGGCTATAGAAAGACCAAACATGTCGGTGAGGAAACAAGAGGCAAGGACACCCATGAGAATCATGACAATGTAGTTTTGGTTCACAAGTGTTCCTTCAGGCGTTTGGGCGACAATCCAATCAAAGGCTCTTCTAACAACCAAAAGCATAAAAGCCGCGAAGATTACCACCGATACTAGAAACCAAAAGAGAGCATATGCTCCTCCTCCGTCAGCTTGCGTCATGGCTTCAAAAATAACAATCACGTAGACCCCTGCCATGTCTCCAAGGAGAGCAACCGACATGGCGAACTTGCCCACCTCGGAGTTGAGAAGGTTCATGTCTCTCAAAACAGAATAAATGACAGGAAAAGAGGTGAAAGCCAAGGCGAACATGATCCCTCCAATGGACGAAAGCTTCTTCAAGTTTTCATCCATTTTGTCTCGCATGGCCATCCCCACGGCTCCCACGCAGATAATTGGCACGATAACGCCGATGGCAGCAATGTACTTGTGCTTTCTTGGTGCCCTCCCAATGGATGCAACGTCCGTCTTGGCGGCCGTGAGGAAGAGGAAGTAAAAGAATCCCATTAGTCCTATGTTTGCGCATATGTAGTTCGCGATCGGTGGGAACAGATAGTAATTGAAATTTCGGCTTCCTCCTAACATCGATGGTCCTATCATCATTCCACCCTTCAAACACACAAAAAACATAACATCCATATTAGCTCCAAAACGGATTTTGTACAAAAAAGAAGCAAATATAAGATCGGTGACGAACAATGATCTCGCTGACTATACGAGGTTGGCGAAGAGGTCGAAGGACGAAACTAACGAATTTGATGCAGAAAATGATGATGATTGCTTCGATCAAAAAGGTCGAAAATGCATAGTTCATCGCATTTTCGCCTTTAAACATTCCAAACGGTTGCTTACTATGAAGTTGCCGGCATACCACCGGAAGTTTGGGAGAGAAGACACGACTAGTGACCTCTCCCGGGGTGGTTGAATTACCCGGCCAAAACCCAAAATGGGTAGGCAGGACACTCTGGTCGTCATTGATGGGGAAATGCCTAACCATGCAAACTAATCTTTCATATCAAGATTTGACGTAAAACAAACGATAATGATCTTCGATAGAGAGAGAAGATGATAGATCCAAGAGAAGACGATAGATCCATGACTGATGTTTTTTTCAACAGATGTGGACGTGCGTCATTTCGGGAACAATTTTAGTCTTTCGCTTACTCTTCATTTTCTTCATCATCACTATTTATTTTATTAAATTTATTTTTTTGTATTACTTTTATGAAATAAAACATACTCCCTCCGTATTTTAATAATTGTCGTTTTAGAATTTTTATTTTTTTGAATTGGATGTCGTTTTCAAATTTCTATGCAAAATTTATTACTTTTTAATGTTTTATGACATCATAAAACATTAAAAAGTAAGATATTTTGCATTGAAATTTGAAAACGACATCTAATTTTAAAAAAAATAAAATCCTAAAACGACAATTATTAAAATACGGAGGGAGTATATGTTTTGCGGTATCTAGGTTACGTCTATATTTTTCACTCTTTAGAACGCCTATTTTTAGCATAATTATAGCGAACGAAAGTGAACCTCTCGGATATGTTTTCTTAAACATTTTTTAAGAACCAATTGT